GATGAAAAGGCTTGGGGCAGGGGGGTTGACGTAGTGCCTGGAGGGTGAACCCATATGTGCGTAACGAACTGTTTAAGGGGGATTTAGGATATCACGGACGAGAGTCGGAATATGGCCGAGCAGAAATGAAAAGTCGGCTAAAATGTCTAATTCAACCTACGATAAGGTCACGTTCTCATGAAAATTTACTTAACTACTTATGTGATCAAGGTAGACATGCAACACAGCTGTTGGAATCCGCGGTTGGGACAGTTGGAGTTTGTGCAGGGGATTTGGGAGTTTGGGGGCTGGGGACATAGGCATTTATGGGCTTCCGATGTAGTTTTGAGGTAAGAGTCTAGGACTGGGGCTAGGGTAAAGAAACTTATTAATAAAGAAATAAGAGCTGGGATTAGGGTTATGGCTAGTTTCCCGAATCGCGCGCCACCACGTAAAATGAACTGGTCTACTTAAACAAACATTTTTTTCCATTTTCCACTTTTCCCTATTGTTGCCTCTACCGCTAGTTGTCATCTCCCCACAAAGTCCTTAATTACTACGCTTCCCATATTACAGGTAAGCTTGATTTTTAGTTTGCAAAGTGGCTGTACATAGTAGATCCTTCCTTAAGCTCCTTACTACATTACTCAAGCGGCTTAAACGCTAAGCAAAACATGCGCACAACATAGGCTAGGTGATGGGTTAAAAAAGTCAGCCAATTCCCATGATTTCATAATGAAAGTAAATTCAAACTAAATCCCAACGAGACAGATTGGTGAAGCCGACCGCGAGGTCCTCAGGTCCACCCAGACCCTATTTTCTTCACAATTCTAAACCTCAGAGGCCTGTAAACTACCACAAAGCAGCAGTATTAGTCCCAGACCGAAGGCTTTCAATTGACCGGATAACAGGGGCCCTCTCTCTCTAGAAAATAGCGCAAACAACAATGATTCCGTTTCTAGGCAGCACTATGGCCGGGTTCCGTGGACTGAGCTGTGTTTCGTACAGATCTTTGTTTAATCCAGAGTTGGCGAGACGCAAAGAATTCAAGCACGGCAGAGGTATGATCCAGGTGATCCACCAAAACTGTCACGCGAGGCTTCGCAAGTACCGTCAATAGATCAAAGAAGAGAAGGCAGAGTGCTTTAAATGCATGGGTGAGAATGGTACACAACTGCTCCACCAGAGGGTGGCTGAACGAGCCCGCGAACACAAAGCGAAGCGAGAAGCAGCACTTGAAATCAAGTTTCGCAAGCTACTTCGTCCATCGTCAGCAAAAGATGAAAAACTGGTGCACAATCTGTCATCCAAGGAGCTGACGGGTGAACAAATGCAGGTGTTAAGGCATGAAGCTTCATTCAACACAGCTGATGCCAGACCTGCTAACATAGTTGCTGCAGTCGAATCAATTCTCAGCCAAACATGCAACTCACTCGACGGGACCCGGCCATATTTTCCAGTTTAACGAGGCCGAAGTCCTCGCAAGAAGTGACAACCACGTGAGCCGCGAGCTGCTCGAGTCATGGTTTTCAGGCCTCCAGTCCATAAACAAGCGCAACGATTTCGCGTTCCCATACTGTGTACTGAGACATTGCCTGAGCAAGAGAATCAATCACGTGGGAAGGGCCGGGCCCAACAACAACTCTGACGACAGTGAGCATAATTGTTGCGCAGGTGCCAAGCCTGCATCCGACATGGACAAGGAAATCGCAGCAATTACTGAGTCGAACACAAAGTTTCAAGCCATCACCGCACCAATTAAGACCAAAGCGGTGGCTACAGGAGTGGATAATTGCAGTACGCACGCGGATGACCGCTACGAACTATAAGTACCGTGCAATCTGCGCACGTTTAAGCCTATCTGCGTATGACTCAGACTACTGTACCATTACCTATGATTAGGGATTCTCGACGGAATCCAAAACATCAGGAAAATAAAACTTTTGTTCCAGTGGTCGCACCCCCTTCTTCTGAACAATGATTTCCTTTCAAGGCAGCATTATGGCAACTGGTGAGATCCGAATACATGAACTATAGACAAGCACATATGCTGAATAGTCGAAAAG